TTAGTAAAAAACTAGAAATGTGCCCTCACACGCCACTGTTCTGTCAATCTTATGACTCTAGGTCAAATATTTTTTGGACTACATGTGCCACAAGTTGAAAACTAAAAATCAACAAAGGGCCATAATTCTGTTAAATTTGGTCGCAGCAAAAATTCCTTCCTTTACTACCATCTACACATTATGGTTGTTCATCCCTGGAAGTTTAAGCAAAATCTGCCATCCGGTTTAAGAGGAGTTGCGTTAACAAAATTTCTACATAGTATATAGTGAAAAAATCAACAAAGGGTCATAATTCTGTTAAATTTGGTCGCAGCAAAAATTCCTTCCTTTACTACCATCTACACATTAAGGTTGTTCATCCCTGGAAGTTTAAGCAAAATCTGCCATCCGGTTTAAGAGGAGTTGCGTTCACAAGATTTCGGGACGTACGGACAGACGGACGGAAGTTCTAACAGGAGAGTAATAATGTGGCTACTCTATTGTTCTCTCTATTGTTCTTTTTAGCAACACAAAAGAAAATAGCCACATAAAAGCATTACGGAATGAATGACATCAAAGAGAAAGAACAGTTACCTATTGTCCCTCTAGCCACATAATTACTGTCCTGTGAGTGCGGACGGACAGACGGACGGACGGACGGAAGTTCTAACAGGAGAGTAATTATGTGGCTACTCTATTGTTCTCTCTATTGTTCTTTTTATCCACACAAAAGAAAAAAACACATAAAAGCATTACGGAATGAATGACATCAAAGAGAAATAACAGTTACCTATTGTCCCTCTAGCCACATAATTACTGTCATGTGAGTGCGGACGGACGGACAAGTGCAACGCTATATGCTCCCACTCTGTGGAGGCATAAAAAGATGTTAAAAGCACAAATAATATTCTTTTGTATTTTTTCTATGCATAAGTTTAAAAATACCATGGAAAATTTTCAAAATGCACAGATTAATCCTACATCTTTATAACAAGAAAGTATCAGTATTGTTTTGCTAGAGCAGCAAAATCATTTACATGTACTTGAGGTTTTTGACTTTACATGTAAATAAAAAAGTAATATTACCTGAAAGTCTTGATGTTGAGCTTCGATCTTTTTTGTGGTCTGTAAAACATATTTTCGGTTTTGTGTTCGATTTAAATGGATGATATCTATATTCTCCAGTGAGTGCAAGCCTTTTCCTGTATTGTTTCAACCCTCTGGGTTTGATTTTCATAACTTTTTTTAGAATTTTTTTATTGTCTTCCATTGTAAAGGCTTGAAAACTGAAATAGACAAAATAACTGAAAATAAGACATATTCTTGGACAATTCATTTGAAACAAAAGGATTATTTTTTGGTGAAAATGTTTTTGTACCAAGACGTAAGCAGACAAATATAAAGATTCATTCAGACTGCATATCAAACAACTCTTTTGATTATTAAAATATGAAGGTTTACAGATGTGGTACATAACACCGTATGACACCAACTTCACCAAGAACAATCTGGTATATATCAAATGTGGTACATGAGACCATTTGAGCCCCCTGTTCAGCTAGAACAGTCTGGTCTCATATATCAGACGTGGTACATGAGACAGTTTGAGCCAAACTTCAGCTGGCACAGTTTGGACTCTGAAATAACATGTGGTTACAGGTACATGAGACCAGCTGAACACAACTTCAGTTGGAATAGTCTGGTGTCATATGTCAAATATGGGTCTTTCCTCCACTCTTTACAATAACCTTAATAAAGGACCAATATAAAAACAAACTTATAAATGCTTTGCCGGACAAGCATGTATTGTTAGATCACGTGGCTCATCATTCGACAACAAAATATTGACATATGAATCAACAAATGATTGTTATTTCTCATGATACAAAACCATTCACAAATTTCACAATACTCTAATAATGATCACGGTTGACTCGCCCAGGAAAAATCAGCGATAAAAATCTTTTACTTTTAAAAGAAATTTACTCTGGAAACCTGTTCCCATTTGTCAAATGTCATATCGCTGAGTGTTGGGACTCAATCTTACATACATCTAACCTGCTTATTATCTCATTTTTTTAATCTGAACATTATACATATAATATAACATTAAAAAGAAAATGCAACATAAACCAATCTGATCAATTTTAAATTGATAATATAATTATTTAAGCTCCATATCTTTGTCTACAATAGCGTAAAATGCTGCCTGATGTAAACTTAAAAAGAAAATTTTATCAATAATTGCAGCAGATAATCAATATAGATATCCAATCCTTGACCTTAAGTCATAATATTATACTTAAAAGAAAAATTGGATAAAACCGACTGAACAATGCGCTAGTGTCCGGTAGACTGAATTAAACCTACTGTAAAACCCATATATATACTAACACGATATCGCACGCATAACACGTGCAGATACTATATACATTACAAAAACTGACCATTACAATATTGTGTATACGCATCGTTAAGACAATATTTTCACGCTATACTTGAACGAAACGCGTGAAAATTTTAGTCTTTTCTTTACTCTTCACAATAAGCTTAATAATTGATTAATATAAAAACAAACTCATAAATACATTGCCGGACAAGCATGTAGACATTATACATCAAGGGCTTTACGTTCACGGAGTGTTAATAAAAAGTTTCTGGGTCAATTAAAGAAGAAGCATCTTAGAAACCTCAAGTCGTCTAGACAAAGAATCCGCAACATAGCCATCTTTTACTACTATCGACTTCCACCGACCATGACGCTTTCAACACCTATCATTTACCCCGCATTAGCACCTACGGTAGCTCCACCGGATCTAAGCGAGTGCAAGCCAATATTTAAATTACCCGTAAAAGGACGTAACCTTTCTAAAATGCACTCTCTAGCCCTTGTATAACTTAACGGCTTATTCTTGTAAATCAATTTACAATTATTTCCTGATCTAAAACAAGGTCTAAATAAAAACTTTTCATCAGAAACATCTTGTTCAGTAATTAACAAATAACGGAAGTCCCTTTAAACCATGTGCCCATTTAATGCTATATACAGTCGCTGAAATAACACTAGCCGAATTCATTTTATCCAAAAGATCATTCTGAGTTTCAGGGGGAAGCAAGTCAACAATCCTCCGTCTTTGGGTGATCATTCTGTCATTTACATCCCTCTCATGTTTTTCACTTTGAACAGGCAATGAAGGCAAAAGACGTCTAGGCTTTGAGGTAGTCTTTCTACTTGGTGTAAAACCTCCATAAGTATTCTCTGTTTTTACCATAGCAGGTGTTGATGTAGCCAGCTCAATACTTGTCTGGTCAATTTGTCTTTGAAGACTATCAATCTCTCTCTGGAGTTTCAGCCTACGATTCTCATTCCTAAGATTTTCCATTTCATCGTACATATAACAAAAATCTTCATCAGACCATTTACTTCTATACTCAGCCATGTTCTTAAAAGTCTAGGGTAAGTTAGCCTGTCTAAAGCTAGATGTGTCCCATGTTGGGCGCCAATTTTGTAACGTGCACGAGCTAGCTGTTATATATAATTTTTCTTATGGCTACTTTGCCAGTTGATTGGGTACAAATGATTATAAAATGATTTATTCAAACTTTGGAATCAAGTTTAATTAACTCATGTTATAACAGTAATGTGCTTGAAAGGTAATAAGTGGTCCTTGAACTTGATATAAAATTGGGGTGACACTTTTTAGGCTATTTAATATATATAGAAAAACCACTTGGGATATCGAGTTTTTCAATACTTTAGTAATAACAATTACACCTAACGCAATGTTGAATTGATGCAATTGAAATACTTCGTAAATAGCGCAAGAACCCAAGTAATTAAACTAAAATATTAATTAATTATTTTCTGTGGTGTTGACACTTCGGCAGCTGGACAGAGACTGGCTGTCCGCAGCTTTGAGCTCTATTTATACCCAATAATATAGTTATATTTAATGATCGTTTACTGAAGTTGAAGAAATCAAGCATCCAAGGGATATTGATAATGGTTCGAATATTTGTACGAATGGCATTGAGTTCGAATGATTTTAAGTACGAATTGTTCTGATATTTTAGAAATAATAAAAATATGCCCGTTATATCAAAATATTGCTACGAATAAGTTGTTAAATCTATTCATTTAGTTTTTATGTATTATTTATTTATTTATAAAAGATCAAACTATACATTTAAACACAGGATAACATATTTGTTTACAATTTAATTCACCGACAATTTAGGTACAAAACCACTAAATCATTATAGAATCTAGGCAGAATAGAACAATCGTCACAATACGATACAATTTTTTGATTTTGTTAAAATATACGTACATTACATAAATGTACATGTATATATTTTAACCTATGATGCATAGTTTTATACATACTTGAAACAAATTATGATTTTTCGTACATCATATTTTGACTATATTTTTAAAATTTTAACCAATATACAACACATAGAAGAAAATTCATTAAGGTACTAAAATAAAATATTATATCAAAAGAAATTGAGAAATATATCAATTGAAATTTTTATAATTAATATTTATCATTTGTAATATTGTCATCTTGAAAAACATCTTATTAAGTATTTCTCGACCTCGCCTATAATATCACCAACGGCAATTTGACACCTTCATTGTTTTCCCTTCTTTATCTAACTGGTCAGCAGTTTTCGATAATCCTTCTTTGTTTAACTGGTCAGCAGTCTCCTATACATTCTATATCGTCAGCTAATTCGTCAGCAGTTTAGTATCGCCCTAAATCCTGTCTTTGCCGTTCCAATTAAGCCGGGTTTAATTGGCAAATTATAGTGTTTAGAGCCTGATTTATTATTAAAGTTTAACATTTTGTAATCATAATTTTTAAAGAGAAACACTGACAATTTTTTCTTGGCATTTTCCCTTTTTAAAATCTGAATTGAGGGGTCTTGCCATCCACTTAGCAGACGTGCGAGATTACAACGAAATTAGGCAGCATTCGTTACAGTAGAGAGACACTGGGAGGTAACTTTGGCTTGATTTCCATTTTCATTTTAGAAAAAAAAATGTTTCTTGCTTCCAATCCATAAGTTTATATGTCGCTTTTCACAGGGACCCAGCACAGTGTTGGGATAGTGTAAAAAAAGTAATTTAAAAAAAAAATATATACCTGTATATTTTATGTTCAAGATTTCTAACCAGGGCGTAAAAATATACAAAAATATGTTGGCGCACGGTTTGCAAGATAAAAATAGACATGCTGTATACAAGTGCGGATCAGGAGTGTCTGTGGTTGAGACCCATTTCACCTGGGACAGTCTTATATATCAGATGTGGTGCATGAGACAGAAATATACACTTATAAATAGATAAATTGAGACAGTATCAAATCATCAGATCTCAAACTAGTCCAATATATTAGACGTTACAGGCTTGTTATAGTTTATGTCGGTCAAGCCTGTTGCTTTGCCCAGAAGCAAAAATATCTCAAAGCGACGTCATATTTATAGGACTAATCTCAAACATGGGTCATTGGCCGCATTGCTGCTCCATAATTAAATCTGGGACTATCTTCCGTCTCAGATTAAGTATTAAAAAATACGAGTACACGCAAAACATTATTTACCAAAACCCTGTAATAAGATGTTATTTCATATCATGTAACGTCAAATATTAAAAACTGGTTCTTAATTATTTTGCATTTTCCACATTTCCATTTTTAAACGTGATATTCCTCCTATTTAACTTGGTGAGATAAAAGATTATGTTCGTTCAGTTTGGAGAGTTAAAGTTCTGCGGAAATATTCGTGAACTTTAGTTTTCTTGTTTCTTATATATACTCCTGGTTCGAACCCCGGGGTCTAAACCAGGAGTATATATATACTGTTGAGAAAAATATTTTACCTGTCGTTCAATCGACAATGTTCATTCCGTGAAGAGTTAACTTCAATGAAACATATTTTGAAATATTATCGTTATCGTAAAATGCTTTTATAAATTACATCCAGTTTTATCTTATATATATACTCCTGGTTTGGACCCCGGGGTTTAAACCAGGATTATAATATTAAGCGAGAGAAGTTGTCAATATTTATAATATAAATAAAAGAAAATATGCTGGAAAAAAGAGACACGAGTGACTTCACAATAATGAGTTCTGCAGGGGAGGGTATCCCCTGGAATAGGCAGGGATGCCAATTTTCCGCGGATTTCGAGGTCCTCGAACCACTTTTGAGAACGATGTAAATCCGAGGAGAAAATTTGGTGGGTGGGAGTCTCTTTCGCCGAGTTTGCTACCGTCTATTGTCCGCCAATTGTAAATGTTTAGACCGTACCGTAAATATTTAGACCGTACCGCTTTTCGGGTATCTTCAGTTATTGTCGCTATTATAGTAAGCCAATGAACGATAGCGTTAAATAATTACCGACCAATCGTAGCGTCTTTCTGTAGTTGAAGAAAGCAAAACAAAATGAAAATGTCGGCCGATTAGTAAGAAAGATATTTTTTACATGAATAATGGCAGCAATTAACTCCAACAACGCTTCGAAGATCAAAGACTTGACAAAAATGTTAAAAATAAGTTTAATTTGAAATGGTTAGAGAACACAGTAAATGTGAATATAGGATCAACGTGACAACCGTCCCCATTGGTGATGATTTCGTCAAAATAAATCAGTAAATAATATGAAAAAGGCAAAGCCTCAAAGCGAGCTCGATGTACTTTTTACGTGAAATAGTATGAAATAATCACAGGTGCTAGTTGCATTGATTTGACCTAAAATGTGTTTGACCTTGTTATTTATACAATAGAATATCAATACAGTGATTAATCTAGAAATTCTTTACAATGCGTCGGATGACGCACATTTTTGAAAACAATGAGTCCTTTAGCAAAATCAATGAGTCATGTAGCAAAATAAATGCGTCTTAGCAGAAATTTTTTTTTAATAGCAGATCCTTGACATGATTTGCATGTTTTTATAACAAGCGATTAAATAATTAAAGTGTATAAAAAAGTTTTTTTTTGGTACTAATATTAATTGCAGGCAAAACAATTTTTATTGGCTGCTCAAAAATCTAATTTGCATAATTTATATTTTCTTACTACTTATGTCTAATACTGTGCAATATCCATTTTAATTGTTCGTAATTTGCACAAAATGTCCCTATCACACTGTATACATACTGACGACTTTTATTGCTCCTTGTATGCCTCTGTGTAGAAAGCATACACAGACAGACCTTTTGATCATGAAAAAAAGTCATGCACAATGTTTCCCTGATTGGTTAATCACCCTGTCAAATATTCTGATGACGTAATAGACATCTTTTTTTTTTTTTACACTCCGCCTGAACTTGAGTGACCTTAGGGGAATTCAATTTACACACCTGTCAGATTATACTGTAACTTACAGCATTTCTTAAAATAGCAACACTTTTTTTTCAGCTACCGATATTTATCTAAAATATTAAGTAGATTAATGATTTTTTGTTTGCTTTTATTGGATTAAATTTACGGTAGTAGAAATGCTTATCTGTGTGGGAAAGGGATAAGGTAAGTAGATAACTTGGAAAAATGCTATAGGGAAATGGATAAACTCAAGAATATGCGTAATTACAGGGGAATAGGTAACCTGTTGCTGTTGGTACCAGTTTTGTCTGGATGACTTAATAACATACAATATAAGTCTGGTACAGATTTTAGATGCACCCTTGGCCCTTTGCTGACGATTTTCCTGTGCAATTCTCATTTTTGCGCCAATGGCGCAGGCAGATCTCTGCATATTTCACCATTGTAGGCGATTCGCTCTCATGCAAAATGGACGCTCTGATTGGCTTATGCCGATAATGGGCGGTTACCGATCACAGGGATTTACGTTTCAAGCAAATGGGGGATAAGTCTTGCATAAGTAATCATCGGAAATTAAATTATTCAACTGATGAAATTGAAAAATTATTCAACTAATGAAATTAAAGTAATCAAACAGTACATAGAAACTACTAATCGTGATATTTTGGATTATAAACCACCTGATTTGCATGCGTCAAATTGAATGCACATATTTTGAAACTGTGCGTCTTTTTCGATTTTTATGCGTATTTTACGCAAGACGCACATCTAGATTAATCACTGTCAATATAATATGAAAAAGGCAAAGCCTCAAAGCGAGCTCGATGTACTTTTTACGTGAAATAGTATGAAATAATCTCAAATGCAGTGGCGAGTGCGTGTGACGTCGAACGTACTGTGTTAAATATCGCCCCGTCCCTGTCGTGAAATGAATAACGAGTTTTGAAAACGTTGATAAAACTTTGTTTATTTTATTTCACTCTATAATTTTTCAAGCGAAATAAAGATTATTTTAAGTGAAATAAATGTAAAACTTAAAACGTTTGCGACATTAAAATAGCGTACTTGATTTGTCTGTTTTGCACGTGCTGTTTGGCGCTACATTGTGACGTCACGTAAACAATACTTTAAACGTCTGTACAGCGTTAACGACTGAATAAAAGATATTGGTGTTCGGATTCATTTTCTTAGTTAGACCATTTTCTTTCATTCTAGATAGTTTTCACAACAAAATTCGACAAAAAATCGTTTTTTATTTATCAGATTTCAAACAAAATGGCGCCTTCGATTTTCATTTTTTATACACAGCTTCCGTTATTCTGGTTCCGCTGTCCAATTATGGTTCCCATAGACGTGCGCGGGTGACCAGTCAACACATCCGTTTTCAGTCAGAATTCCTCAGTTTTTTACCGTTATCTTTAAATTCGAAAGGTTGCGATGTGTCCAATTTGGTACTTTGGACGAAAGTTTTCAAAACCATCATTTAGCAGGTACTCGCCATACCGTAAAGCTCGCTTTGCGAGCAGGCCCTTCGGGCCAGCTCGTCGAGCTCGCTATTAAAAAAAAAAAAATTAAAAAAATTTTTTTTTTTTTTCGCTGTTATATTATTATAGACTATAATAATATAACAGAGAAAAAAAAATTTAATTTTTTTTTTTTTAATATATTGATATTTTATTGTATAAATAACAAGGTCAAACACATTTTAGGTCAAATCAATGCAACTAGCACCTGTGGAAATAATCGCTCATTTTTATTTCAAATGCAGTGACGAGTGCGTGTGACGTCACACGTACTGTGTTAAATATGGCTCCGCCCCTGTCGTGAAATGAATAACGAGTTTTGAAAACGTTTATAAAACTATGTTTATTTTATTTCACTCTATAATTTTTCAAGCGAAATAAAGATTATTTAAAGTGAAATAAATGTAAAACTTAAAACGTTTGCGACATTAAAATAGCGTACTTGATTTGTTTGTTTTGCACGCGTTGTTTGGCGCTACATTGTGACGTCACGTAAACAATACTTTAAACGTCTGTACAGCGTTAACAACTGAATAAAAGATATTGGTGTTCGAATTCATTTTCTTAGTTAGACCATTTTCTTTCATTCTAGATAGTTTTCACAACAAAATTCGACAAAAAAATTGTTTTTATTTATCAGATTTCAAACAAAATGGCGCCTTCGATTTTCATTTTTTATACACAGCTTCCGTTATTCTGGTTCCCTGTCCAATTATGGTTCCCATAGACGTGCGCGGGTGACCAGTCTACATGCACATCCGTTTTCAGGCAGAATTCCTCAGTTTTTATCGTTATCTTTAAATTCGAAAGGTTGCGATGTGTCCAATTCGGTACTTTGGACGAAAGTTTTCAAAACCATCACTTAGCAGGTACTCGCGTTACCGTAAAGCTCGCTTTGCGAGCAGGCCCTTCGGGCCAGCTCGTCGAGCTCGCTATAAATATCAGTTAATGAAAATATTTGATAAAGCACTAAAAGGAAATGAATTTTAGACCATCTGAAAAGGATGAAAACCCTGGAGCTTCCGGGGGCTTCGCTCTCTGGTCCCCCACCAGGGCTCTGCCCAGGACCTGCATGGGGGCCTACACGGCTCCCATGACCCCTCACGTTTAATTTTCCTCGTTTTTTCAAATTGTCTGTTGGCATCCCTGAATAGGGTTTTCTTAGGGGGTTCATATATATTTAAAAATGGGGCTTGGTTTGTTTTTGGGGGGATATTTGGAAGTGTCCAATTGTTGAATAAATGTGCCCCAGGGCGTAAACAAATGAACCC